ATTTTCTATGTTTTTTTTTTTATTTTATAAACAGAAATATGATTTCAACTTTGACGGGGAACTAAACCGTGAAGAGTTTATGGAATTCATTCTAGAACTGACTAAAGACACATTCTTTACCATTAGTCAAAAGCTGGTGACTACATTGGCGATAGCACCGACTGTGGCTTTGCTGACTAAGAAGTCAACAGAGGGTGTACCTGTGATTGGGAAGGTGGTACAGAAGTTGCCCAGTTCTGTTTATGCATCCCTTGTCACTCTTGCTATAGTTCTTTTTCAGAAATCAACTGAAGCCAAATAGCAAAAGATACGACTTCTTCTTTCCATTGTAAATGGATTCTACTCCGTAGTTTATTTCAATAATACGCCCTGCAGACTTTGTTGGCTCTGGTTAACCGGCCTTTATATGTCCATGTATTCTTTGTAAATTATTGGAAGTTGAAACTTTTGTGTTTTGTTCAAATGATTTGGTATTCTGGTTTATTATTACCATTCCTCCAAGAAGATACTCAGTAGTACATGTTGAAGCTTATTTAGCCCTAAAATGTAATGTGGAAAGCTAATAAAAAACACTACACTAAAATGCTAGTTAAAGCTCACGAAAAATCATGCCCTTTTAGGCTAGTTAAAGAAAAATGCTTTGTTGTAATTGATCTCTTCTTGAAACCCATCGATGAATTTTATAAGCCTTTAAGGTTTTTAGGGGGCGTTGTGCAAGGAAGAAGAGAGAAATTTCGAAGTGTAGATTAAGGCATGTTACCCTCACGGCCTCACCAATGGGTTCAATATTGGAAAAGGAAAAATTAGAGGTTAGAATCGTAGACCATTCTCGATTGCATTCGGCAAAATAGAGGTCAGAACAAGTCTTGGGGAGTGTTTGCGATTGCTTAAACTTTAAAAAAGTTATTTTTTAAAGTGATTTTGGGAAAAGTGATTAATGGTAAAAGTTGGTAGTGTTTGAGAAAAAAGTGATTCTGAAAAAGTAAAAGTTGGTAGTGTTTGGTAAAATAAGTACTTTTTGTGTAATAGAAAAAGTGAGAAGCAGTTTAAAGCACCCTTCTACCTGCTTCCAGCTTTTAGCTTTTAAGTGATTAATTTAAGCAGAAGCTATCATTTGAAAACACTCTTTTCAAATTTTTTTAAGCCAAAAGGTGAAAAGCGCTTTTTTTAATCAACCCCAAACACTCCTTTAGCTATACATCAATACAAGAATGCTTTTGTACCATCCTTCTAAGTCCCTTATTGGCTTATTGCTTTCTAAATACTATTTCACTTATTTTATTGACATTTTCATATATCATCAAAAAGCCAGTGTTGAAAACAAAGCCAAAAAGGCCAGCTTTTTTAAATAAAAACAAAAACAGTGTTGGCAATTTGATTCTTTGGCTAGTCAAAATGTATGAGTTTTAATAATAACATAAGGTATAAAATGTCATCATAACTACATTTTTATTAATATAGTTAAGTTCGTAATATGAATATAGTACTGCCTTCTCTCTCTCACAGAATCACATTTAGCCAGAGCTTAATCTTGTAATTTGATAATAATGCACAAGTCATATAAGTCGTCATTTCTACGGTTCTACCTATCTAATGGTGCTTATAGTGGTTAATTGATTCACAAAGTATGCCAATTTCACGCTTCTCTTTCTCTCTTATTTAATGTCAATTGTCAAAGAAGTTCCTTGTGTTTATTTGCGAAGTAGTGTGATTAGATGAATTTCCATAGAGGCATAGATTATTATGAGTGACCGAGATTGTATATTAATGAATTTATTTTGGAGGAAATTATTTCACTTGCAAGGCACAACCTTGAAGACTCGCTTCGCTTACCATTCAAAGATGTATGGGCACACCGAAGTGATGAACAAGTGTTTGGGACAATATTTAAGGTGCATTATACATAACTCTGAGCAAGATGGAAGTTGAGACAATAATACTTATGGTGCAGACCCGAAGTGATGAACTGGTGTTTGGGGCAATAATATTTAAATATAGTATGTGGTAACAATAATATCAACATTATTGATTCTCAAATCTTAGACATCTTCTTTGGGAGAGGTACACCGATCTCATCATGCTACAAGGTTAAAATATCTTTATACTCTCACATTTATTACCTTTTTCGTTTTACAAACTATTTTTTATTTTCCACATTTTCATACTGTCATCTTCTTAATGTGAAGTATTTTTTTTTTCGAATTCCTACTTTTTTCATTTAGCATACATACTCTATATTAGTCATTTTATTTTTTCTTTAAATATCGTGAATAGCCTAATAAGACGCTTAAAAACAGAGGCAATAATGTTATACTAGTATAATATTGATCTCATCTTATTAGGTTTCATCAGTTAGAAAAAAAATTGATTTGATTTGTTCCGATTAAATTTAATTTAGGTGTCTAAATTTATGTGATGTGTGATATGATGAACATAGATTTGATCGAATAGTGTAACAATGTTGAAAAATACTAGAGGTACCCCTTTTGGGGTACCCCATTTGTAAGGTTGTACTCCCTATTTGTGTGGTTCATAAAAGTAATTCATAAAAAGGGATGATGAATTTAAAAGATGAGCTTTTGTGAACCGCACAAAAGGTTACATGTTGACTGAATTTTTTGGGTGTCGCTAGTTTTGATTAAGTCCGGTTTATTTAGCTTTAATTTGGTCGGATTATATTTTATTATAATCAAAATATGATATGATATGGTATCTGATCAATTTAAATTTTGCGCTCATTTGAAAATAAAAACTAAAATAAACCCATACGAAAATCTACACCCCTTTTGAATTTAACGATGTTACTTCCCATTTTTAAACATCAAAGCATAATATATCTAATACTTTTCTAAACTGATATGTTTACCAACCAATATTTAAAGATTGATTAATATCTAAAGATATTATTGAATTGTTTTGATAGCTAGGGTTTCGACTGCTAGAGGCGCACGTCCACTATCGATCTCGACCGAGGAGTGGTGTTGTTCCCTCCTGCAATTCTACCGATGGTTCGAGGAATCGATTGAAGGAAGAGACAGCGATGGATTCAGGCGAGCTTGGCGTTTGGTTCGTAGCTAGTAGATCAAAGATCGTTCCGGTTTTGGCTGCTACGGACTCGGGTGAGATCGAAGGCTAGTTCAATCGAGAAGGGGAGCGGTTGCATGGAACAAGTCGTTGTTCAGTATAAGAAGATGAACATTGGTGAGGATATTGGGGAGATGGATCTGGATGATGGCGACCTGGATGATGTTCCAACATATGAGATTCGGCCGACCTATCCGGTGGTGGGAGTATTGCTTACAGACAGGAAAATCAAATTTTCAGTGTTCAAAGAGCTTATGACATCGTTGTGGAGGCCGGGGAAGGGTGTCGAGATGAAAGAAGTCAGTGATAAGAGGTATCTATTTACTTTTATCATCCTGTTGATATGAAAAGTGTGCTTGATGGTGGTCCATGGCAGTTTAAGAAGAATTTGTTGATCTTGAATGAAATTAAACCAAATGATATTTCGCATAAGATCTGTTTGAATGAGGCTGAGTTTTGGGTGCAGATGCATAATGTCCCGTATAGCTTGATGAATTTAGGTACAGCCAGACGGGTGGGTAATTTTATTGGAAATTTTATTAGTTATGATGATAAACAATTTGGAGAAAAATGAGAATCTGACCTGCGAGTTAGGGTCTGTATGAATGTGGAAAAGCCTCTGAAAAAGGACACTACTCTTAAGAAAGGAGGTATCAGGCATTGGCTGGATTTTAAGTATGAGAGGTTGCCTAATTTTTGTTTTGTCTGCGGAATCGTAGGACACTCCGAAAAATTTTGTTCGTTGGCGTATGAAGAAGATTTAGAAAAAAGATTTGGAGTACAACTTAGTGGGGTGAAGACTAGTCCGACAGGAGGAAGTAAATGGCTAGTGGACGGGTCCTGAAGCTCGAGTCGGGATCCTCATATCAAGATGGATAACAAATCGGACGGAAGGATGGGAGGAGGAGGAGGGAAGGAATACACGGCGGGATCAGTTAATAGCTCGACTAAAGATGTGGCCTTGGGTGATAATGAGGAGGCATCGGGGGGAACAAAAATACGAGCGCATCTGGGAAGCGGGGGAAAATGAGAACCAGGGGGGATAGTATGGTACTAGATGGGACAAAAAACGGGGAGGAAGAGGGCTTCGAGGGGTAAGTCCGCCAATATCAAAGTTGCAGAGGTCAGCGTGAGAGACTTGGAATTGATGATGGTGGTACTTGGAAGGGTAAGTGAAGACTTTTTCGTTTTTGCTTTATTTTATTTTAATGGTCTGGATTTGTCTGTTTATGTTTCCATTTTTATCTCTTTCTGTTGTAAGACTGTGGTTTTGGATTTGGATGTGGGTGATGGAATGACTGCGGCGACCGTCTTTGGCTCATTTGTGCCCATAAATGCATCAACGAGGTGATAAACTCTGAGTCTGATTTGATGGACGACGGTTGTCAGGATTCTTTTTGTCGAATTACCTACTATCTAAATGATGTGTTATAGATTGAGTCCCGTTCGAGTCAGGCCGGCCTGATCGTAAGACCCGTGCGGCCTTCCCCTTTTGGGTGCCTTCCCGGTGGAACTTTTTGATAAAATTTTTTGAGCATGTTCCTCGTCAAGTCTAGTTTATTCATACCAAATTTCAGCTCAAAATTCGACCGGGAAGGTAGTCAAATAAATTCTTGAAACATACTGCACTTTATTTGACTGCCTTCCCGATCGAATTTTGAGCTGAAATTTGGTGTGGATAAACTAGACTTGATGAGAAACATGCTCAACAAATTTCATCAAAAAATTCCGCCGGGAAGGCCCTCAAACAGGGAAGGCCGCACAGGGCTGTCCGGTCAGACCGCCTGACTCGAACAGCCCTCGTTATAGATTTAGGCATATTTCTTTCAAAAAAAACATTAAAACATAATTAATGCTTGCATTTAAATATACGTATAAATAGTTAAATTTTTTGAAGCAAACAAAGGAAAAAGAAAAAAAAAAGGAAAATACGTTAAGTTTGTAATATCAAGTCATCAAGTGTTTGAATTGAATCTCGATCATTGTGGTTAGTTGCGAAGGAAGCTACAATAGATACATTTTTGTATTTTTTAAAAAAGATCGAATTGAAGAAGAGATTAGAATTAGAGAGAACAGATGCCGGAATGGAGGGAAGGGAAAGCGACGTTAGGGTTCCGTTGATATCAGGATTGTTCTGTGTCCTCCTGATCACCGGCGGGGTCTTCCTCGCCCTCCACGTTTTCGTGCCGCGCGTTTCACGGCCATGGTTCCAGACGGTGGCGTTGGTCCTCATTGCTTCTCCCTGGATGTTTTGGTCGGTCACCTTCATCTACGTCTGCGCCAAACGCTGTTACCGGTGGAGCTGGGCCGCCTACATGTCTAGACGGCCGATCTCGAGGAACGAATTGTCGCCGGCGGCCACCGCCAATGATGGCTGTGGGAAACCGGCCACTCAGGCGGACGAAATATCCGTCGCGTATTCAGGGGAATCCGAGAAACCTTTGGCCGGCCCGAAGACCTAGCTAGCTAGCAATTCAATCAGCGTAGGCAATTATAGTCAACAACAAATTAGGTATATACATGTTTCCTCCATCTCCTTCAATTGTTCGTTTTTGAGTTGAGATCTGAAGGGGGTCTTCATTCGTTATACGCATATAGAGATTAGAGAGTATATATTGTAACGAGATTGAACTGACCTTTTGGCGATGAATGAATGATACGGTGAAATGCATGTTCTATAGCAGTGGAAATAGTACAAGGCATAATCACAGTATAAACTTCGAAATCTCATTTATTTACTAATAAAAGTAAACCTGCAAATCATTTGAGATAGAACATTACAGAGCGTTTCATTTCAATCTTAGCTTTTTGGTCCCAGTGAATGGGCTAGCAGCTTAGTACTTCCATTTGGCACAATCAGTAGGCATGAAGGATACAAGCATCTTCTCCAAATCATATTCCACCAAAAAATTTGTGTGCGCCACATTCCCAAAAACAGGGACACCCTCAGTAGGGGCAAAGGCCAGACACCCAATTCCATCCCCAACGTTCACAAAACTGTTAACTGGATTCAGCTTCAGATCACCACCTTCAAAATGGGCTGTGATTACCGGAACATCCTCGGGCTGCAGACCTTGGTAACACAACCTCAAGAACCTCCTCTTAGTGTCTGGCTTCATAGGCTCCTGCCCTATGGAGCTCTTCACTGTCTCTTCCAGACCCAAATACATATCAGTTGGCAGGAAGCTAAATGTTGTCCCTGAATCGATGTAAATGTTGCCTCTGTGCTGCTGATGATTACCGCCTGTTGTTGGTACCACAGTTTGGTTTCCGACTGATATTCCTAGTAAAGTCAGGTAATAGAAAATCCTCGGAGGTTTCAAAATGAGCGGGGTGGAAACCACCCCGGGCACGTCACGAACCACTATGGCGGGATGGCTTCCGAATTGCAACTTACTCGACACGTTCAAATGCGACAAGGGAACCAAACAGTATGAAAATCGGTTGCCACCAATTTGATTAATAAGTGAATAGCGGGATGATCCGAGGCCGACAATCCCGGATATGCGGGTATCATTATCCGCGAAGTGATTCGTGTGGCCGCACCCGAAAATGATATCCGGGAAGGACATGCTCTGTCTTCCTTTGAGCTCTCCGGTTTGGAAGTTGAACATCTCGGTAGCTAAGTCTAATGTGAGTGTGTCCATTGCAACTTCACCTTCACTAAATGTCCCATCGTTGTACCTATCGAGTGAATTTGAATGAACGAAAAGAAGAGCATATAATATACGCTCTTTATTAATTGATAATTGATTAACCCACGATATTTATTTGAAGAAGGTAGTTGAGGTTCTGATAATATGATTAGGAGAGCCTATTGGAAGAAACGATAGACTAAAGTTTTTTCCTAATTAGAAGGTTCTACTGCAATAAACTAATTAAAGTTTGCGCATAGAATTAATTAGATATAAAACTAATATGATTAGAAATCTGATACGGAGTATGAAACATTCTTCCGGCCCACACAAAGTGATATAATTAAAGTCTTTATTAAAGTTGCCAATTATATAATTGAATAATAATAATTTGTGTGCGTGCAAGTATATTTATTCATTTATAAGAACTAGCCACACGTTTGGTTCGAAATGATATAATTATAATTTTAAATCATGTATGTTATTTTTTTTTTTGGAAAATCATGTATATATGTTATTTATAAATGAATATTTAATAGTCGATTACAGATTAAAAAAATTACATTGAAGTTTTTTCCGCATAATACAATAGCTTGATTATTACTACGTATCATTTAGCATTTCCACGTAAAAACTAAGAAGATTAAGATAATCATATTTCTTTTTATTTTCTCAAAAAAAAAATCATATTTCTAAAAAAGGCCCATGATGTTTTTATATGTATCATATTTAATTCTTATGAACAATATGATTAGTTATAAAATGGTGCCCTGTAAATAATGTCATGTCAACAAGCTTAATCTAATGTTACTATGTTAGTAGTAATTCAGCATACTTGACGCTGTCTAAAACATAATACGTGAAATAATAATGTGGTTTTAGAAATATTGTACTCCGTATAATAACTTAGTTTTCATATTTATTTTAATATGCATACTATGTATTGCACCATTACTCTAAGACAAAATTCCCGTGAAATGCACGGATAATACGTCTACGATCGGTATAGTATTTTTTATTAAACGAATAACATCATTTATTTGTGTAAAAATAAATAGGAAATGAAAGAGTTGAAAAGTATTTATACTTGGTATCATTTAAAAAAATGTACGTAAGGAGCGTCTACAAATTAAATACTTCACTCGTATTTAAAATAGTATAACAGTCCACCTTTCACGTTTGCTGCACAAATTTGGTTAAAAAAACGGATTTTAAAAAATTTACAATAAGACAAGTTTAACAATATTTGTTAAAAAAAATATTAATACATTACTCAATAATAAAGCATGATCAAAATAAAATATGTGAATAGTTGAAGTGTCTAATTATTTATTAGTTAAAAAAACGGATTTTAAAAAATTTACAATAAGACAAGTTTAACAATATTTGTTAAAAAAAATATTAATACATTACTCAATAATAAAGCATGATCAAAATAAAATATGTGAATAGTTGAAGTGTCTAATTATTTATTAGTTAAAAAAACGGATTTTAAAAAATTTACAATAAGACAAGTTTAACAATATTTGTTAAAAAAAATATTAATACATTACTCAATAATAAAGCATGATCAAAATAAAATATGTGAATAGTGTAAAATTCTACCGTGTTACACTTATTTAAGAATGAAGGAACTACTCGGAACCTGGCAGAGTATAGGCATGTGTTATTCGCCCGGGCACACCGGCTACCGGGCAGGCCGGAGCATTCCTGGGACTGACAGTGCACGGGTTTGTAAGTTACGGAAGCGTTGGGATTAAAACTGGGAGATTCATTGTGTTGATCGCCAGAACACTGAATGCGGTTGCAAGGGTGCCGGCATTGCAGCCATATCATATCGCTGCCGGTATCCGCAACAGCCAGCTTAACGGCGGGCGCGGCTCCCACAGATAGTCTGACGAGATACGTGCCCGCTTTAGGATCTGGGAGGACTCTAATCGAAGGGTCCTCCTCCACCTCAAGGCGGCGGGCTAACGAGTTCTGAAACGCAGCGTGAATGCGATGCCATTGAGAGAGACGAGGGTCGTGAAGAGGTGAAGATGGGGAGTCTCTGTGCAGGAGCTCAACCGTAAAAGCTCCCACACCATTATTCTGATTTATTTCTTGAGCTGCACAATTGAGTATTATTAGAGTGCCAAAAAGGGAGACGAAAATGGCGAGTAGATTCTCCTTGTTCAGATCAGTAGCCATGAATTGCGTTAGCGGTGATTGAACAATGATTCAAATGGAGTAAAAGTGGCTGTGGCATTACTGTTGACTGTGTGTCACATTCTTTGTTGTGTAGGGTAAAATCTGCGTGTACTGTGGTCCGTGATCATAAACAATTCTGGCGTTTTGCCGGATTCACTAATATGTCTTAGTAGCAGATTACGTATGTATTTAATTGCGCAATTTATACCGTGCAACCGGCGCACCATGAGGATGGTGTGCCCGGTTGCAAAACGACGCAAGTGCCTTGTTTCTTTTTTTCTTTTTTTTTGCTTCATTCAAAAAATGATAATAACTTTTTTATTTTTGCTCCGATTTCTATAAAATTTATATCAATATTTTTTATTTTTCATGATCTTTCAAATGATACCAATATTGCTTATGAAATTTTAAGAAATTATCGAACTATTATATTAATGAGTATTGGATTATAAAGAAAATCGAACTAAATTTAATATAGAAAAATAATTGTATAAATCACAATTTATCTTAAAATTGTGTATATAAAAAATTTATTGTATTATGTATTTATACATGTGAGTTACATATTTTTATACGTGAAGTTACATATTTTTACACGTAAAGTTACATATTTCTACATGCAAGTTACATATATATACACATGAGTTGCATATGAATTGCAGGGAGATGATAAGTTTGTGAAATAGAAGATCGAATCTGTTTGGGAGTGGATCAGTGGCCTCAGTTACATTTGATAATTGAGTTACATCTTTTTATGAGCGAGTTACATCTTTTTATAAGCAAGTTACATATATACACACACGAGTTGCATTTGACCTGCCTGAACGCGAGTTACATATATTTACACGTAAAGTTACATATTTATACACGTAGAGTTACATATTTTTACACACGAGTTGCATTTGGCCTGACTGAACATGAGTTACATATTTTAACACGTAAAGTTACATATTTGTACACGCAAATGTTAATATGTTAAAATTACATAGGCAATATTGGTGTCATTTGAAAGATCATGAAAAATAAAAAATGTTGATATAAATTTTATAAAAATCGGATCAAAAATAAAAAAGTTATTACCATTTTAAAAAAAGAGAGAAATAAAAAATAATGAGACCAACTGCTAGAACTACGTCGTATTGGTGGCGGGTGTACTATGCTCATAGTGGGCCGGTTGTATGGTATACGAACTGATTTAATTGCAATTAAAAGTGGGGCCTAAAAGAGTTTTTACTTCTTTTGGTTCAGATATTATAATTTGGGAGTCCAGAAAAAATTAGTTGTACAAATATTTAATTTGGGTCCAGGAAAAAATAGAATTTCTTGGTACAAAAATTATAATTTCATTTATGCATCATGCAAAGCTAAATATGTTAAAACTTGTATTGTTTTAATATTGACTGATTTCAGTCCCACATTAAACGGGTGTAGATCGGATCAGACTATGAAAATTATAAATATATATAGAAGATACATTTGTATGACCAAACTAGATTAGACTAGAAAATTACAATCTAATTAAAAACATCAGATGATGAGTTAGCAGTTTGATGATATCTTCAGCTTAAATCACTTTGTCAATACCATAAATCTTATGACTATATCTCAAAACATAGCTATTTATCATGAATTCATGACATTATATTCAAATTTAAAGGTATGTACTAATCATATGCATAAGAATGATAAGATTATTTAGGTAACCATTTCCATTCCATTTTAATTTCGTGCTTCCATTATTTTCTTAAACAACCCCTCTCTCTCTCTCCCGTAGTGTATGGTTAGTTACAAAACTGATTTGTTACATTAGAGTTAGAGCATCTCCAATGGTGTTCTTTGAAGTGAAGGTAAATTTTGCCAAATGTCAAATAATTAAAGCAATGTTTGTCCACATAAGATGCACATTAAAAGAAATTAAAAAGGGGTCTCCAATGCATGGTGTTGACCGATTAAATTAACTACCTTTTAAAAAAGAAAATTAAAACACGTACCTAACTAAATCCCTAGATTACGTAAACCTATATTACTAAGGATGTTTTCTTTTGGACTGAAATTTGCTGGTCTGGTCTGGTCTATTTAAGTCTGGTTTGGTCTGGTCTGGTCTGGTAAACGTCTGGTCTCTGTGTATTTTATAACTACGGAAGTCTGGTCTGGTCTGTTTAAGTCTGGCCTGGTCTAATCTGATATGGTCTGTTTAAGCCTGGTCTGGTCTGGTCTGAGACTGAAAACTGTCCAAAAGAAAACATCCTAAACCCATAAACCAAATCATGTGCAGCCGGCCATATCACTCCAAGGCACGAAACAGCAGGAACGAAATTTCAAAGTTTAGGTATATAATAATTCCTCCTGTTTGATTTCTGCTTCTTGTACCACAAACCCAATACTTTTGATCGTGTGTATACTCTTCTTTTGGTTTGTCTAGAAACAATATAGATAAAAAGTGATGATCATGAATTTATCAATTCGGATGGTTGATGAGAAAAATTCATATGTTTTTTTTTAATAATTTGATTTTGTTACTGGGTTGATTCACTTGATTGTTTCTCAGTAATACCACATGCGAATTTCAATTGATTTTAACATATATATTAATGTAGGAACCTGCTAGTTTTTAAATTAGTAATTGCGTTTTTTTACATTCATTATATCGAAGTTATATTTTAGATTTATGTTAAAATGCCACAGCTAATGTCATCGGAAGAATCTGAATTCAGCTCCACTGCTGAATCATCCTCAAGCACAGGGTCACTTTCTCTTATCAAGTCAGTTTTTAGGGATGATGATGAAGATGTTGACTCATTCATGGTTGAAACTGCCACGGTTCAGGTTCCAATTATGATGTCAACGTTCCAAACTTCTAGGACGCGATTCCACATGGCAGCACTTTTCTGATTATTTCCTACATCAGCATCCACAGATATATGAAGCCAGGCCTCTGTCAGTGCAACCTCCTCTTCAATAGACCAATCTTTCTTAATAATGGAAGGCGGGGGAGAAGCAGGTTGAGAAGTATTAGAGTTTTGAGCATTTTTAGCTCTCTTTTTTGATGCCTTGATGGGCTCACAACTTTGAGGAGTCACCATGGGTGTATTGAGCAGTTCTTGGTAGGAGAATTGTTGTGAGTTATGCTGCTCAATATGGAAAGGAAAGGTTCCACTTTTAGGATCAACATGATAGATGGGTGGCGTAAATTGGTTCATATTCTGAGGTGAGATAGAGTAGGCAGAAGGTGGGTTGAGTTGGTTCACACCCTGCATTGACATGGTGTAATTGGGTGGAGGATTAAATTGGTTCATGTTCATTGAGGGCATGCGGTAACTAGCAGGCTGTGAAGTATTTGTAAACTCAGCCAAGTCTTGTGAATCCATTTATCCTGCTTTGATAAATAAATGTAGCCGTGAGTACCATAACAATTAAACAAAGTAATATGGAGCAAGAGATTATTATGATACTTTTACATCCGTCACAGTTGATGGAATCCAAATAATAGCACATCATTAAAATAGATTAAAATATAGTGCAATATAACTAGTTCATTCTAAAGTAATAAATCATAGAGTGGAATCCAAATAATAGCACATTATTCAAATACAGTAAAGTATGACTAGTAGATTACACTTTTCAGTTGGATATAGAGCTGATTTTAGTTCATTTTTTTTAAAAGGTTCACCGTTTAATTGATTGTATATAATACTTCCATTTAAATAATGCTTGGTGACTAATCCACTCAAAGAACTTGGAAGAATATTGACGTAGCAAAACTATGTCCTCGTCATTGGACACTTGTGTTAATCAAACACTTTCTAAAGTGACAAGAATCATGTATGGCGGTCCAAAATTATCCATATAAATAGGAGATACCTTTCAATAGATTTCAAGTGACAAAAATATTTAACCAAAGAAATATTATTTTGAAAATCAAAGTTGAACAAGTATAGTATACTTTGAAAAGCATGTCCACTAACTGCATGTTTGAAAAATCCGAAACTTATAGAGAAATACTAAGACAAAGACAGATCAATTTATAATTTACAATCATACGCCCAACCATCAATGGATTAGCATGTTAAAAAACATAGCAATTATAAACTGTGTATAACTACACACAGTGTATGTCATACATTGAAAAAATAGAATGAATGAAATGGTATCAACACTCCTAGTAACTGATACAGTCAAAAAACTGATATAACGATGCCATGAATCTCTTCACGTACCATCTGCAGTTTGTTTCTTCGATTTTAAGAGCAAGGAAAGCTGATATACGAAATTACACACTTGTGACGATCATCACACTGAAAGTAATTACATATTGGTCATTTCAATCATTTTTAAATCCCAAAAAATAATGGTATTCACAGCCAAACCTAATTCACCAACAATCGGCCAGAGTAAGAAACGTGGTTCTCCCAATCAAAAGTAAAGTATTTACATGTGTTCTTGTTTCAAAATTGCAGAAGAATGATATTTTCCTCCCAAAATTCAGAGTTTCTCATCTATATAGACACTTTAGGAAGCAGTCAAGCATCGGATTATATACTTCTGCAATCAAGAACCTATGAAATCATAAATTAAATACCTTTCACCGGTAGACATGGATAAGAATACCTGGGGGAAGTTGACACCGATAGAAGAAGACTTCAGTTTGTGGGCGAGGCGGCGAGTTGAGTTTGTGTGCGAAAAGTGAGATTACATAGGACTAGGTTTGGGTGGAAAAAAATTGCCGCCACTTTTTTCAGAGATGGAGCGCTTTTTTCAAGGATGGAGCGCTTTTTTTCCTCCGAATTGTTCGTAAATTGTTTTCACAGCGTCAAACAAGCTTTCAGAAAACCAAAAGAGGGGTTGAAAGTGTTGGATACAGGTCAGATTAAAAGGAACCGTAAAAGGGTGGGTTGGAGGTTAAAAAATGATTAGACTTTGTAAATTGATGATGTGGCACCAAATTTTTACGTCAAAATAGCACCGTTGGTGATGCTCTTATATTTTGAAGCAAAACTGATTTGTCATTATCTTCTCACTAATCACAATTCAAAAATGCTAATAAATTGAAATATTAACCATGTATCACAGAGTATAACATGCATTACATTTTTCTTCAAATATCTAGTCTCAGTGATAACCAGTGGCGGAACCAGGACTCGTGACTCGCAAGGGCACAATAACAAAGAAATCCTATACTTCGTACTACGTACTACTCTAAAAAAATCATATGCATCACGAATATAGGAATAAACAAAACTATAAAATGTAAATAAAATAACTACTTAAAGAGTATCTTAATTTTGATTAGGACCTGACGTTTCAAATGAAAGATTCATTGAGAGGCGGCAATCTTTGTCTTTGAGGTGCCATACTCTGAAATTACTTCATAATGACTTCATTCTCAATTTCAACAAATACATCTTTCTTAATGTAACACATCAAGCAATATGTTAAGTTTTCTTCTCCCATCTTGTTGCGCAAATCACCAACAATGTCATCATCGAACAATTCAACTTCTATTCGAGCATTTTTAACATTATTGTCATTGTTAGGAATGACATTATCTGATGAAGAAACTAAATTATTCTATGAAGAACCACCAATGCTTGGTTGTTTAGGTTCCGGTGTATAATATCGTAACATAGTGATATTTTGTCAAACAACCTGGATCAATTACAATTGAAATAATATGAGTATTATTGTATAAGTTACATTATAAAAAATTAACAATATTAACTAAATCAATAAATACACAATCATAAATTTACAATATAATTAACATTTTAATGAGATTATCACTTATCAAAACATAATTGCCAAAAAATTCAACATTGTATTTGAATTCAACAAATAAAAGTTTTTAACAATTAACATTTTATTTGAATTAAACAAATACGTACAATTCAATAAGTAAAATTTATAAACGAAATTATCAGAAAAATAATTAGGTTAAGGCATTAAAAGGCTTATCGGGAGTCCAGTCGTCCAAGAGTCTAGAGACGCAGTCGCTAATCATTATTCTAGTTCCTACTCGTTGATGTGATTTGTTGGCGATGTAGCTTGAACGCAGTAGCTTGAATCCTTGAACGCTGACTCGTTTTCAGTTTCTGTCATTATATTGTAGGTTGAACTTAGATACGCAGGTGCAGGGGCTTGACCGCTTGAGTTGGGATTTGGGGTCTTGGCGTTTTGGCTTTTAGGGAGTTGGGCTGCGGGCTGCCCCAGGGAAGGGTTTTTGGGATTGGGCTGGCACAAGGGAAAGGGCTAAAGTAAAGGGCTTTTGGGATTGAGCTGCAGGGGCTCAACTAATTAAATATTAATATATATACATATTATAAAAAAGAAAAGAAAATCACTGCAGGGGCACGAGCACCTCCGGACACTAGGCTAGTTCCGCCCCTGGTGATAACCATGGGGATAGTTAATATTATTCTCCTAATTCACAATAAATATCTAGTCTCAGTGACAGAAGAAGGGAAGGTTTGGGCGGTCAGCGGACCCTCCCTCCCCTGAACGTTCCAGCATGCAGAGTACTGAAATAATTTTGATTTGATATATTGTAGCTCCCGTAATTTACTACAAATAAATAATTTTAACTCTTGTAAAATCATCACCTATCTAAACTTGAAATGGGTGACATTTGATGAGCAATATTAGTTTTATTTCTAAATTTTAAAAATAATGCTTTATTCACTCATTAGTTACGTGAAGTTTACAATATATCACACATATATCAAACCAATAACTCTCTAATTCTCAATTAAACTAATTTCTACTTTAGTTATAGATGAAATATTCTACTTAAGTGTTGTTTGAAAACAATAGCAGTTTTTATACTTAAGTTTTGATTCTCTCAGACATTTTGTGTCTCCGCCAGGCTAGTGACACACATTTACTCTAATATAATGAATCACTTGCATATATACCATTTTTGTAAATGTAAAACATCACTTGCATATGTCTTTTGGTCTCATATTTTAAAACAAATTATGCAATTCTTAGGACTCATGTGTAGTTTTCCTAATTCTGTTTATTATAAATATAAGCCTAAGACACTCAATAGGGTAAGCTATTATTTTCCAAAATTCTAAGGTTGAGTCGGCCATAGTGAGAAACAAAGCAAAAGAATCCTAAGCGACTGATACCATATACTACGTACAAAATAATGAATTTCGGGAAATAATGGTTTACACTATTTGATGTCTTAGCCTTATATTTATAATATAAGAGTCGCAAGATAATACAAAATATACTTATCCACTGTAGTGCCATATAATCAATACTTTGATTTTTTTCTTGAAAATAATATTTTGAACATATTATGCACTAGTAACAACTAATTGTACTGCAAATCGAAATCTACCCAAACTATATTATTATTATTATTATGCACTAGTAGTAACTTATAATTACTCATATTGGGTTGATTAATCCATTATATTTGACTCAATGGGGGTGATAGCCTAACCACAACAACAAACTTTTTTTTTTCGTAGGGTCCATCCGGTCAACTCCAATTCTCAAATTTCTGACTAGAGCAGTAGTTCTTGGAGACAGTTACTCCAGCCAAACGATGGTTAGTTATTCCCTTTGCAATCCCAATATGATCTTCCACCAATAAATCCCCACGCATGTCTTCTTCTTCCTCCATTCATGATCCCTAGCTAATACAGAGAGCACTTAACAGATTATCCACACCTTCCGCTGATAAAGAAGCTATGGAGTTTCACAGTTACAGTTTCTTGAACATCATCGCGTTCGCTCTCCCACTCTTCTGCCTCCTCGTCACATGGGCCGCCTCCACCGCCGCGCCCCTGTCTCAGCCGCCGTCCTCTGTCCAGACAGCCGCAGAAGTTCTCCGGACACGGGGCTATTCCCTGGTTGCCTCCACCCTCTCCGTCATTACAGCCAGTAACGCTAACTTCTCTGGCACCATTTTGGCCCCGCCGGACTTCGCATTCTCCTTCGCTATCTCCAAGTTTGTCACCCCCAACCGCCGAGTGCCTCACCGCCCCTCTATGACCATCCTACTCTTCCACACTCTCCGGCCACCACTCCAGTGGCGAAATCTCTCGTCGCTGACGGATGGGGACCAGCTCCCGACGCTATTCAACGGCAATTGCCTCTTCCTCAAGAACTCAAATGGGGATGTCTCAATTTCGGCGTCCAAGAAGTCACTTACGGCGGTCAGAATCAGACAGCCTGATATGTTCGCCGACGATCGCGTCGCCGTGCACGGAATCGACGGCATACTGGACCCAACGTCGGCTACGAAGTGCTCTTTCTCAGAGGATCATACGCCGGCAGCTCATCAGCCACCGCGTGTGGACCGGAAGTTTCTCGATCACGCAGTTAGAGCGATCAGGAGAAGGGGATTCACCGTAGTCGCTGCAGCCATATCGATCAAACGATCGGAGATGTTGAGATTGGGAACAGTTTCGTTGTTCGCGCCGTCCGATCGGGTACTTTTCTCGAAACATGGAGGGTTCGGCTTCAATTTCCGAAGCCATGTTCTTCCCCAACGGCATCGTTTTGATGATCTCGCAAGATATCCGCCCAAAATCACGACCTTCCAGACTCTGGCCGCGAACAGGGCATTGACGGTGGATTCCGTCGATGGTGTGGTGACAGTGAACGGCGTTCACGTCAACAGCACGGAGGTCTATCAGAACCGGTGGATCGTAGTGTTTTCCATTTCCGAATCCTTAGACGCTCCATTTGCCTGTGGCGGCGGCGGGGTTCAATATCCGGCTCCAATCCAACCATCACTTCATCCACCGGCGAGAGATGAGTTTCCAAGAGTCGAACCGCCGTCGCCAATCCCGCCGAGATCATCTCAGTGTCGGGTGTCGGATTTCGGGGCTGAGATCGAAGGCGGAGACCTCCTGTGCCCCGTTGCCGCCGGAAGGACCTTGCTTGAGGAAAATGAATCCGCTGATGAAGGCGTGGAACGATCCAGCCCGTCCAATGACGGTAAACTTGTAAAAGTTGTGACTCAATCTCCGCCGTACGCTTCGCATACGGATGACCACGGTAGCGGTCAACTTTCCGTTGACAGTGACAGAGAAGGAGAAAAGGATCTAATGAGTGCGCCTTCACTGAAACATCACGTGAACATCGCTGATGATTTGTTCTTCTATTCCTAGCCAGAGGCGACACATTCACATTTCCCACATCTGTAGTGATTAGACTGATTACCAAGACCCTTTTGGGCTTCCTAATTTGTACATATTGGAAATCAATGGTGACATTTTCATGTTTCAACAGTTCTTATGTTTTGTTGATAGTTTTAGGCACAACCAATATGCAAAAGACTAATAATAATCGCATAAAACATTGTTGCCCAATGGCCCCACACACACAAAATGAAAAAGAATATTAATTCCCTTAAAAGTGTTTAAAAAGTAGGTTAGATTAAGGCTGATCAACTTATACAGAGTATTGCCCACAAAAATTAAAAAGAATAAGAAAATTTTGAAACAGGACAAATTGCTTTGATTGGTAACATTTTCCTCTTTTCTCTTCCTGGGCTCATGAGTCATCAACACCTTGCTCGCGAGCAATGGAAGCAGAGAGAATGGAGAGGTCGCGGTTAAGAAGAGTCAAGGCAGTTTCACATTCTGAGATTATTCTGGTGACAGAAGATGGCTCTCCCCCAACTGTTTCTGTCAATGACCCCACCGCCACAGCTGCATGAGAGTCCCTTAGGTTCTTCAAGTTACCTAGGAACTGTAAAACAAATTACAAAGTGACAGTGAATCAAAATCGCCCCTACATTTCCTCTCTTAAAACCCAAAGCTAAATAAAGTGTTACTCCGTACAAAATAAATAGAAAATGAGAAAGCTTTACCTGGGTGATCACCTTAAACGGTCAATTGGACAAATAAAAAATATCATAGATGATAGACCCAATGTTCAGGAGTATGTACACCATGTGAGTTTGCCCGGCGACAACAACAATCATTGGTATGCAATGAAAGGTTTATAAAAAAAACCAAGGGTCTATTTGCCATTAGGGGTTGGAGGGTCTTAAAGGGGAAGGACATGTAGAGCTCAGTCATATCTTTATCTAATAATGTGTTTTCAAAAGGTAGTTGAAATGTTATGTGATCAGTGATCACCTGTGGTATATAAGCATATCTTCACTTTATGTGTGTACATATGTACTTATAGCAAGGTATAGACTTTGCCCTTCATAGCCATCCATTCCAAAACACTCCATCCAAGCACCCTAAGGGACCTAAGGGAGAGTCCAACTTGAAACCGCATGACCCATTAAATAAATTTATTTGGAACTTCTAGGTTCTCACTTTCCTTTTCTGAACATCCCATATAAAGGTTCCCATTTCTATTTTAGAAAACATTTAACACTCTTAATGACAATTTAATGATCAAATATTAAATATAATACATCTATAGCATCACAGTTATCACCACTAACCCCATTATATTATATACCCATCAAAACTATTTCTCAAAATATACTCGAAATACCTTAATTAATTATTGTATTAATCACCGGGCTGTTTTGCAATGAAAACCTTTGAACGGGACAGAAGTAGTAATGAACAACAAATTAGACGCAAGAAATGTGCCATGGAAATATACCTTCCAAAGCATCTTATATGCTTCCAGCAATCTATTGGCCGCTGGCCCAAATCCATGCAATTGTGGTACCTCCATCATGTGTGTCCAGGGACGTATTTCCTATTAACGTAAAAAGTAATAAGAATAGGAAGTATAATTGCAAATTATTATAACTATCATTAGCAATTATAATTGCTAATGATAAAAGGTGGCCGGAGCAAGAGTACAAAATATTTGTAGTGTACTTGAAAGCTGACCTTGTTATAAATTGTATTGAAGGATTTAGCAGTTTCTAGGAAGGTTTCTAAATGGGCCCGTAATATTGCTTCAACTTCCACGTACTCCTCATCCGGGTTATATGGATGCTGTAAATTAGAAACTTACACAGCATAAATGAAAGTTCAATGATCTAAGAAACTATATCTCAATGGAAGTGAAGTGAATGCCAACAGAAGCAGAACTATGATTTAGAACAATCTAAAAGGCAGAATAACCTTTGATGCTAAATCATCAACCATCTCCTGAATACTAACAAGTCTGTTAGACTGATCTGAGAGCTGCTTCTCCAAATCGCCAATTTCAGGCCTGCAAGTGAAATTGGATTGAAATAAATAGACAGATGTTACAAAAACAAACCATTTCAAGCTAGAAACATAGAAATAATCCCATTATTAAGCATCTCATGTATAATGGTATTTCTGCTCCTTAAGGTCTTTTTGGATGAGAGGTTTTGGAGTGGTTTGGTGGGTAACACTTTAAGTGGCTTCGTTTATATGTTGATATAAATTTGAGACTATAAAATTTGAAATCATTCATCATTACCCCAGTGTCGCAAAGGCTCCCACCTAAAATTTGAAATCGTTAACAGAAATATATGTGGTCATATTATTAGTTTTAAAAGGCGCGAGGCGGCATGAGGCGATTCATCGATTTACCCGAGGCGTGAGGCGCAAGGCAACGAGGCGCGCGCCTCACTGAACTAAACCACATATCTTTGGTAAAATATATTTAAACAACTTCTACATGAAGCACTTTTCTAAAAAATACTTCTATTAATAGTAAATATATTTACAATAAACTGTTAATACTTATTACTAATCCTAAGCCATTAATAGTAAATTTTAAAATAAACTTGTATATAAAGATTATTAATAACAACAAGCTGTCATATATAATTGACTAATTGTTATAAAATATCAAGAGTATAAAGTTAAACAATCAGATTCACAGATTGAGAAACCATATTTATTATTTTTTAAAATTGATAAAATTCGGATTGATATTAGGGTTTAGGGAAGATTGTTTTTTTTTAAATAAGCTTAGGGAAGATTGTTATATGGTTATATATTTACATAATTTGAATTATTTTTTTTATTTAACAAATAAAAATATAAAGAATAGAAAAACAAGAGGAAGAAAGACAAACAGAATAGAAGAAAGAAACGTACCCAGCCGAACAAAAGAAACAAGAGAACGGAAGAAAAAGAAAAATAAAAACGGCAATGATCTGCGACAGAAAGAGCGGAAGGTTTGAGACTTTGAGTTGATGGAGTGAAGTCTACGCGAGCAGGATGAATCGCCAAAGGCTTGAAGGAAGGTCAGCGGACATATTCTCCATAAGGCGTGAAAAGCGACGCCTCAAAGAGGCGCAAAAAGCGGCACTAGGCAAGGTAAAAGGCGCGCCTTATGGAATCTGCTGCGCCTGGGATGTTTGGATGCGATGAAGTCATCGCCCAGAGGCGCCTCGCGCCTTTGCGCGCCTCATTTTGAGAAACATTTTGTTTATCAAAATATAAACTGAGGATGTATTCTCCTTAAGAGTTGGGATGTTGTTTTCTCTCTTTCTCACACCCACCTTATGCAACTGTATCTTAAGAAACATATGACTGGAGCAAAATAACAACAGCAACAATAATAATAGTAACAACAATAGCATTAATAATAACAATAATAATAATAATAATGTTTCATACAACGGATATATGGATTGGATCTGAACATCTGCAGGAAACAACTTGCACTCTTCAGAAAAGATTTGTGCTTGTTTTTCGGATATGGCATCAATTAGCTGAATGTCCTTACTTACCTGTTCATCAACACTGCATGGCAAGAAAAACGAAAATAAATCAATAAATAGCTGACAATATATATAAAAGTCACTCCGTGATTTCCCTTAAAAGATGGAATAAGTGTTGTGATCTTATGGTTGTACCTTCTGCCTTGCATTTGCACCTTCATTACTCTCCGTTTGGTTTCAATTAGTACATAATATGATGCTACCTCCAAGTAATTTATCTCATTATATATAAGTAATAGTCTTTTGGGACGAAGGCTTGGATGTTGTTTGTATATGTAATTAATAGTCATATGTCGATTCATGTTAGCCGACCCCAAAATCTTTTGGGGTTAAGGCTTGGATGTTGTTGTTGTATATGTAATTAATCATGCACTCCAGACACACTTTATTGGGCACACTTGATTGATCTACAAACTCTACACATTAGGCCGAGATATAGAATCAGCTTCCAAATCTAAAGAGTCTAATCAATACCAACTTTATGTTAAATCCTAACCTCCATTTAGGATTATCAGCATACAAACTTGCCTCCACAAGATCAACAATCAGGCGCAGCATTTCAGTACGATCTTCATAGCTTCCTCGCCCCTGCAACCAGTATATCAGAAAGGTAAGAATAAAGTTCCTGATAACCGAATGGAAATGAAACTTACACAAACTCACCTTAAACCTAAACCAATAAAATAAATTTATTAAGAGAAATTTCCCAAAATATGAGTAAAAACTATGTGGAATTTTAAAAATAGGAGTACTATGATTTTCCATAAATAGGAGTACTACGATTTTCCATAAATAGGAGTACATTACTGTCATCTTGAAATATGCTTCCATTTTTTAGCATTACCAAGCACTAATATGGCAGTATTAATGGCATAAATGGCAGTATTTTGCAAGCATGACAATACTTACTCTTATTTATGAAATAAAAACATAGCAGTCCTATTTTGAAATTTCACATTGTTTTACTCTTATTTAGGGCAATTTCTTATTTATTAACAATGTTGATGAGTTTCTTGAGGATAATTTTCTTAGCAATTAATAAGTTCAATAATAAAAACTTTGGGTGAAGGAGGGTTGTTTTTGTACTCTGAATCTCCATTTCAATTTTCAAAAGCACCTCAAAAGCTTCCCAGACTCTCCATACTCCATACAAAATACAATGAACATTAAGAGAAAAGCAGCGCCAGAGCTATGACCTTATCTACTTTGTGTCATAGGATGGCTGGAAAAATGATAAGATGTTAGAAAAATTATAGGAAAAGGAAAAAAATTGAACTCACTTGTATGGCATCTGTGTCCACGGTAGTAGTTATACCCAGGAACTTTGCAATCTCTGCCAAATCTGAGATAGCAAAAATCATTTACGTGAATCAAAGTCATAATCTTATATATGGCAATATGGCATCTTTATACTAAAATAACAAAACAATTGTGTGATTGTGTCCATATGGATTTAGCTTTTTAAAAACAGCAAGGGCTTTTTGGAAAGCTGTTGCCAAAAGCTAAACCCAAACACACCCATTATCATTTAGGTCTTAATCTACTTCAGATGGAATCTGTATCTAAAAAATAAAACAAGAAAATGAAACAAAGGATCAAAAAATTTGAAAAATTACAAAAGAGTGCCGCATTTTTCAATTGTATTTTCTCTTAACCGTGCAGGTTTATGTGATGAGCTTTCAGGCTTAAAATAAAAATTTCAGTTGTACTGAACTTCAGTGGTCTAGCTTATCTCCCATTAGGACTAGTGAAGTTCACTGATAAAGACAGCACACTTTCACCCAATTTCGTATTGGAAATTAGAGGTCTCATCTTTAGCGAACACTAAATGATTGCCGAATATGAAGAAGAAAGCATTATCTAATACGAAGAAAAAAAGGTTAAATATGGGCAGGAAAAATACATTGAATGCGAGAGGTCTCCTCATCCCCTTGTAAATTCTGCTGTGAGAATGGGGATTTGTCGCCCAACAGCCTGCATCAAAGGTCGCAGCTTTATCATACCATCAATATTGACCCGCCTGAATATGCTTGTGTGTCTATAGAGGTGGGAAAAAGTACTTGAAGAAGAGCCATTCAAGAAGGGCATAGCGTTCCATGCCGGCGAAAAGGAGCGCTTGTGCAGGAGCATTGGCTCTTGGATAGTTGAGCATCGCCAATTTCTTCTGAACTTGTTCCATTTGTTTAGCCGTCATTCCTAGAAGTTGATTCGTTTCAATGCCAGATATCACTTGCTGTTCATTGGGGGGCTAGGGAGTAGAAGACCATAACTGCATTTTGGTGGATAATAATTGAGGAAAATGCTCTTAGCAATAAAAAAACTTAACTTCCAAAAATAGAATCACATATTTTGTTTTCCCTAGGACCAAAGATTGTTAGGGCCGGTCCTGGCAGGCCTAAGGGGCGGTTAACTTAAAATGGGTCTAATCTTTAAAAAAAAATTGTAAAACCCTTTTCAGTCTAAGCTAGCATGCATATGATAAGAACAGAAAAGTAAAATCAACGGGGTGAACCGTTGCCTAGATAATCAACGATAAATTAATACCGTTGTCCAGAGCCAAAAGGCTAAACCAAACTTTTATTCCAAGATGATAAGAATGAACCCTGGCGAGGGGTATAAATAGCCTTCTACAAGCAACCCTAATCAAGCCCAAATTAATTAAATCCTAATTAGGCCCATACTACTCTACTAACTATTCTACTAATAAAAGGCCCAAACCAAAACATAACATTAACTTAAAATAATAATAAATAATAAATAAACAGCTCGTAACCGGCCCACGGAAGTGGGCCCAATCCCGGTCCCGCCACATGCTCTTCCCGCTTCATATCAATCCACCCCCCTTAAAATAACCTTGTCCTCAAGGTTGAAAACTCGCGGATTGGGAGCTGAAATTTCCAGACATAGTATAGACTGGAAAATATCCTTCTTCTCCTTCTTGAACCCTTTCCTGGCCGGTTATTACACATAATTCATGTTGCTTGAGGTCCAACTCTTCATCCTCCTCAGCTAATATTACATGCAGCTGCTTAAAGGGGCAGTCATGGGTTGGTGTAAACGGTTTCTTACACCTAAAGCATAATCCTTTCGCCCTTAGTTCTGCATATTCTCTTGGCGGCAGTCGAGTGAACTGAGAGCGTGTCGTAGGCTGCCCGGACAGACTTGATTTCGTCCCCGGAGGCTGTCCACTATCTTTTGCAAAGCTGCCCCCTGAGCCCTGTGGGCTGCCACTAGTGGCAGTCAACGAGGAACCCATGTTTGTCCTTACAAAACTGCTAGAACGTACCCCTGAAGAATGATAATTCAGGCTGCCACTTTCTCCACTTTGGACGGACAGATTATACTCCACTTCGCGAGCTAATTCCATAGCCATCTCCAGGTTGTTTGGTCGAAGCAATCGCAACGAGCTTCGGATTATCTCCTTAAGCCCACTCATGTAATAGCCCAAGTAATGATCTTCGGACAACCCAGGAACCTGACTGGCCAACTGCACAAAAAGGTTATTATATTCTTCTATGGTCCCCAACTGTTTGGCCCCGGACAGCCGTTCAAATCGGTTGCCCTTGAATCGCGAATCAAAACGGGCCACCAATGCATCTCTGAATTCTTCCCAAGACAGGCCCGGTTTTCGTGCCTTCAGCCAGGTCAGCCAGTAAAGGGCAGCCCCTTCCATGGCTACCGTAGCCGCTGCCACTTTCCTCTCATGTAGGGTTTGATTAATTTCGAACTGTTGTTCAGCCCTAGCCATCCACCCGATTGGGTCTGTTCCGTCAAACGCAGGTAGTGACGAGAGAATTGGGTCACGCAGCACAACTGGGTCGCGCAACACAACTGGGTCGCGCAGCATTTTGTCACCCTTCGGCACCGTCATCGCGGCTCTGCCAATTCCAGCCGCAGCGGCTTCTAGCGAAGCAGCGACAGCGTCCGGCGAACCAGGCGGCACTAACGCCTGAGTCAACGCCGCCAGTGAGGCGGCGATTTCTGCCAACTTTGCACCGTGGTCTTCGAGCGTCTGGTTCATCGCCACCAGCTTCGTGCCATGATCTTCGAGCGTGTGGTTCATCCGGATTTGCTCAGCCCCTAGTCGAGCCACCTCCTCCCTTGTTCGGCCTTGTTCGTTCTCCAATTCTGTCAATCGATCATTCTGAGATCTTGTCATCTTGGCGGGACGGGATCCGGCAGGTCGGACCAATTGATAAGAACAGAAAAGTAAAATCAACGGGGTGAACCGTTGCCTAGATAATCAACGATAAATTAATACCGTTGCCTAGAGCCAAAAGGCTAAACCAAACTTTTTTTCCAAGATGATAAGAATGAACCCTGGCGAGGGGTATAAATAGCCTTCTACAAGCAACCCTAATCAAGCCCAAATTAATTAAATCCTAATTAGGCCCATACTACTCTACTAACTATTCTACTAATAAAAGGCCCAAACCAAAACATAACATTAACTTAAAATAATAATAAATAATAAATAAACAGCCCGTAACCGGCCCACGGAAGTGGGCCCAATCCCGGTCCCGCCACATGCTCTTCCCACTTCATATCAGCATAACAGTTATATTTCAAGACCTTTTATAATACTATAATAGAGAAAGACTTAAATTCGTTAAACTAAACATAGTAGAATTAAGGTTTTTAATAACAAAATAAAAAACATAGCTTCAATTGTTCACTATCAATATTATCAACTCCTAAATTTTCCCATCTTATGACTTGATCATTCTGAACCATTTCATTTTCGGTAGCTAAATCATTCCTCTCCTATTCGACTTCTTCACACAAATAAACTTTTCTATTGAGCCTTTTACTCAGGGCTGCTTTCTATAATCTTCTCCTCTTTTTTCTTTCTCCCATACAGATTCAACCATTTTTTTACACATTGAAATTAATTAAATTTAATTGTAATTGAAAACTTTTACCTAACAAAATCATTAAATCAATAAATTATAACACCAACACTCATTAGAACCAACACTCAATAGATAACAATCAACAATTAAGAATATGAAATTAACATTTAGTAACACTCAACAACCAATAAATCAATTAAGAATTTATCAACTGTTCATTTATAAACATTACTAGTTGTTCTACGCGCTTTGCGCAATAGGAAGATGCCCAATGGTAATGCTTTGCATGACTTAATAGCGCTATCATGGTTTTATGTAATGCTCCCTCCATCCTTTTTTGTTTAGCAAAATTTGACTTTTCAAGTCAAAGAAGTTAAATTTTTACCGATTTTATATTTATACACGTTAATATTGATAATATGAAAATGATATGGAAATATTCTTTGTGAAAAGTACTATCATAAAAGTATAAATTTATTGAGTTTCATATAAATATATTAGTTAAAATAATGGATCAAAGTGTATCATCTTTGAATAGAAATGTCAAAATGACTAATTAAAAAGGAACAGATCGATGTAGTATTTTCTTCTAAATTCACTAATGACAACAAAATCATATAAATGAAGTCACGATTTATATAATAAGTTGTAATCTTCACTCAAATGACCTAAAACATAAATGCAACATGAGAGTACACATTTGTGATTAGCAAATTAAATATATACACGAGAGTCGATCTAAGTTAGACTATGAATTGAAAAAAGTTTCATATTAACAAAAAACACTCACGTAAAAAATTTACAAATTACAATTTAATACTTTATCAATTTATTCTTATACAAAAAACATTGACTACAATTCATTCTTATATTATTCACTTTTTCAATTTAATAGCATCCTAACATTTTCACTTTTCTCTATAACCGTACCACTCACTTTTGTCTCAATATTAAGAGGACGGAACCCGGAGGTAGTATGTTTTAGTAATATAATTAATATTAATATTGTACTACTTATCTCCCTTAAAACTTTGTCATCTTTGACTTTTCAAGTCAATGGTGGTAAAGTTTGGATCACGATTTTGATTAGTATAATGTTATGAAAATGCATGATAAGTTTTATACTTTTATGAAAGTACTTTTAACAAGGAACATTTTCATATAATTTTTATATTATAAATAATATTCTATAATAATATATGATTGATCAAAGTTGAACATGGTTGACCCAAAAATTCAAAGATGGTAAAGTTTTAAGGGACGGAGGGAGTATATGAGTGACTTTCTTGTTGGACGAGCCTGACACGAACCGTCGTGCGGCTGCCTCCATTTTTTGAGTTAATTAAATTATTGAAAAACGTTGTGCCAAAATCTATATAAAAGCACGTGTTTTCAATAATTTATTTAACCAACTTTCTGATTAAAATTTAAGGATATAATCTAGACTTCATAAAGAACATATCAGAAAATTACATAAAAAAATTCACCCGAAACCACCTCAAATGGAGGTGGCCGGACAACGTTTCTTATTAGGACGACATGACATAAAGATTACCTATTGATATTAAAACATCATAAATATAACTACTTATATTAGCACACCTTTTATACGTATTACTCCTATATGGAGGAATTTTTTAGAATTAAAATTCCAAATCAATCACTGCACAAAATCTAGGATAAAAGTGAAAAATTAAACATATTATTTTCAAAGGATAGTTCGAACAGTTGAGAAGTTGCAACTTTCAAATGAAACTATTTATTATGGTAGTTTTTTATATAAAATTTTATGTGATGGATGGCAAATAATATGGAGTACAAAGTTATTTGATAAATTAAAGACATCAACACGTAGAATATTGGAGTATTGGACTCCGTATAAAGTTGATAGACCGTCTTTCATTAATGTTCCCAGACAATAACGGAGATCAAACGGAAAGCCTAATGACCAAAGATTTTGACTTTACGAACAACATACATAGCATAGAGTACAATTAAGAATTGCTTTATGTTACACCAACAAATTTTATATTCCTAAATAGCCCTAACCCTCATTCACCTTTATAAGTTTGTAGAAACAACTATGAATCATCAACCATGAAAGAAGCCGATTAATAAACTAATCAAATAAATTAAGAAATAGAGGAGGCCGCACTCACCTGAACTTTTGATGGCTGATTGTTGAGGCGGCGAGGAAGACTGCAATGAAGGCGACGAGGCGTGAACAGCAGAACAGGGGCGGTCTCCGGCGTGAAGCCTGAATCCCTGAAGGTGAGCACAGAGCACTGCGCCACTGCACGTCTGCACCAGAGGTCCACAAGGCTGACTGGGCGCTGGCTGAGGAAGTCTTGAACAACTAGAAGTCCGGCAGGCACCAGGCGGCCGGCAGGGCACTCGGCTGCTTAAATCCGTTTTC